ATTAGATATCTTAATAAAAGATAAACACACCAGTTAATCACAGAAGGCTTAGTGTCTTACATAAAGTATGATATAAATTTTTATCATACAATGTAACTACATCAATAAATGTCACATTAGAAATTGTGATAAAAAAAACATAATGACACATTACTTTCGAGTATATCTTGATAGAATGGGATACGACGTCCGTTTGACAGACAAGCTTATTTTAAGATATTTGAGTCTCAAATACACAATTTTGGGCCCAAAATGTAGAAAATAAAATTTTATGCTATTTCTTTTATAAAATTAAATTCTCTTATCAGACAAAATGACATAGTCAATGCTGCAAATAGTGAAGTGTGTTTTATGCTTTTACACATTTTTTATTACTGTGCAGCTTTGTAAAGTAATCCAATGGAAAAACAATATATTCTTTTAGAATTGAGTTGTACAAATATACTTTGATCAGTTTCTTTACAAGTGACAGAGTTTAAATTAAATCAGGTATAAAACCTAACATTCTGTTGACTGTACCATTATTGATACAGTAGTAATTGTTAACTTAGTCTTCTTCTTTTTCTGCTTTTAAATGTGTCAGCTCCATTGAAATAATTGATAAGCGAACTTGGTCCATAATCTCTATTGTAACTGGGCAACTGGTCAGAATAAATAAAATTGATCAGAATAAATGCTGATACATGTGAGCTACAGATATCAATATCATTTGTAAATCAATATCATTTTGAGCGCCCACAACACCTGGCCAAGAGGGTCAACCACGGGGTTTTAGAGTCCCACATAACCCTGGAGTCTACCTGGCCTTGAGGGTATGCATAAAGCATGTCCTCCTCAAAAAAAAAAGGTATATGCCTCCATAGTTTGAATATACATACCCACGATAAAGCGCAGGTATGCCCTCTTGCTGTGAGATCTTGATGAAGCAGTCCACCATGCCGTTGTAGCGTAGCTGTACATGACGAGGGTCAATTGCCTGGCCCTGGATCTGCAGACGGGTCTTTGTTGTGTCGATGGGGAATGTTCCTGCGGATTGTAATTATAAACTGGTAGTCTCAATATCCTTAAGCTTTAGCTTTCAAGTTAATTCTTAATTCGATTGTAATTGCACTAAGCCAAATCAGCTTTTATTCTTTTAAAGAACCCAAAATATTCAAGTAATTCAATTTCATACATCTAATAGATATCTGTTAAAGTATTGAATGTAAATTTAGAGGTTAGGATATGGAACATAAAAATAAGGAAATTTTTAGAAAAGTACATGTTTTCTAACCGAACTCGGCGACTATAGATGCCAGTCCGCCGTAAATAAATGGTCTCCAGTCCCCCTCTCCCATCACATAAAGGCGCCGGCCGAGGAAATATCCTAGCGAACTTCTGCCACTAAACTAACTAAACACACGATCTATTGATCCCTCAAGCAAGAGAAATTGTGTTGTCGACTCCTCACAAATTTATAACAGAAACAGTCAGACACCATTTATTTTTACAGCTTTTTTAAATTAATTATAACATAAATTCGGACTTGGCGATCGTAACGCAACATCGCAGCAGCACTTGAGCAGCAAGAGTACAACAGACATAGATTTTTTTCTCATCTTTTGGTACTATGGCGTCCAGCCTTTGGCCATATGCAATTTCCACTGAGTTGTAAATTTTTAATAATTCTTCCAAATAAATATTTTCTTGCTTCTTGAAACTTCAGGATAATTATTATTGTCGTTGCAATTGTTGTTGTGGAACTTTGGTGTGGGTTTTTGGGTATTAATATGAAATTAAAAAGGGGGAAAGGAAATAGCGGAATAAAAATAAAAGCAAACGGAATTTTGGAAAGGTAATCAACAGGATAGGATAAGTAGTATATTTATAGGTAAATGTAAACAATGAAGGATGGAAATTATGAAAGGAAATGGAAATGAGATGGTAATAGCTGAAAATAATGATAATTGGATAAATAATAATCTAAATTTCAATATCATTTTTCCTTATAAACTGAGCGAACACATTGCAAACAGAATAATTATTATACGATAATAACCATTGACCTACCAAAATAACAGAGGAATAGATGTTGGTAAAGAAATTATAGTTTGAAAAAACGAAGCACGATCATATCTTGGACAGGAAAAGAAAAGGTGGTTCAGACTGCCAATGTCTTGTTGGGATTTGCACATTGAATCAGGTATCATATTAAGTAGTCTAGCAAGATGTTCAGATGAGCAAGTATGTCCTAATCTCATTCTCATTTATAATGATTGAAGTAACACGTTTCTCAAAATGTATACGAGAAAACCAGGGTTTGACAGGGATGTCGGCCTGTATATCAAGAAAATATCTACCCGCAGCTATACTGCTTCTTTCCCACACAGTTTGCCAAGATTCTTTAAGATAAATAGCAGGTAGTGTAGCCAAGTCATGAGCAAAGTTTATATATAAATCTACATCGCCGTTATTTACTGCAGAAAGGTGCAGATGCTAAAGAGCTAAGATATCGGCTCTCTCGTTACCTCTAATGTCACTGTGACTTGGTATCCACACAAATAATACAGAAAGACCCTTTGAATGGCACTTGTAAAGGGCATCACGAATTTAACAAATACATAGTTGGGAAAATGTTACCTAATTTAAAAGGGAATTTACATAATGACTGCAGAGCACTTTTACAATCAGAAAATATTATTGTTTTACGTAATTTTGTTAGGAGAATGTATTAAATTGCCTTAAGAAGACCTACTTATTCACCAGTGAAAACGGATGTTTCAGGAGGAAGCTTTGTTTTTGGAATAATATCGTATTGAGAATGAAGAACACCCACTCCTACGGCCGAGTTATCTAGTTTAGAGGCATCAGTGAAAATATGATTGTAGGAATGCCAATTAACATCTAAAGTTAAAGGAAGCGTTAGCAAAACGTCTGTTAACTTCACTAAAATCAAAACAAACCTCAGGCGTGTTATGTATCCAGATTTGCATAACACACATACCTAAAACATCAGTTTAATGCACTTGCATTCGCGCACCCCGGAACGCGCGCCCCGTGCATTGCAACGTGACCGATGCAAAACTCGTCATTTTAAGTATAATTATGAGACACTTTTCGGCCCGACGCCAACGTTCCTAACATCAGACGTAGACTAAATTCCTTTAGTTAAGATCTTTTTTCGTATAAGTACTTTTAGACCTAACGTACCTAACTTCGGACGTTCTTAAAATTATTTCGTTTAAGAAATACCTTTGTGGAAATTTAATATAGTTATTCCTCATATTTTCTCGTCTTTACTTCATCTCCACTGCGGCCACCCTATATAATTGGCGGCAAAATAAGGCATTCATAATTACTACCGTACAGTGTATCAGTATATCAAAACTGTGAGTTGGAGCGTGTAATGTAAGATACTTTCTATAACTATTTATAAGGCAAGGAGTATTTTGGTGATACCAATAACCCGGGGTATTTATTAGATTGTTTAATACCTCAAGTTTTTGGAGGAAAGGGTGACGATTAAATTGGATAAATAATTTATCAGCTAGGGCGAATTGTTTAATTACATTGACCAAGATGCGCAGGAGTTCTATGGCAATCTACAGTCCGGCACCAACGTATCCGTCGTAGATCCTGATCTTCAAAATCGAGAGAACTGCAATATTGAGGATTCATTTTCTTTTTATTGCAATAAATTACAGTTCAGTTTATTAATTGAAAATTGTCTTAATACAAAATAAATGAGTCTTTTTCTTTTCACTTTTGTCATTTTTTTCCCTTAAGCAACTTAAAATATGAAATACCGTAGTGGTTCTTAAAAACTCATACACGAATTGTTCACAAAACTGTTTATTTACACAACATCACACTAAAATTTGTAATTGATTTCTTTAGATAAACTCTACTTTAACCATTTTACTCATTTCCATTTTTTGTGTAAAGTGATATAAATAATTTATGTAAGCCAATTTCTCTGTCATTTTTGCAAAATACAGGTTCATTTTACAATCAACTTATTACTCACCCTTTATTCTCTCTGAAAATTAAAAAAAAAATACTTTTTTTGTGAATGAATGAGAAAAAAGCTGATTCAAAACGAGTTTCGCTCACGTAAAATAGCATTTTTTGAGTTTAGCCCATTTACACTGGAGGTACAGATGTTATTATTAAAATAAACATTTATTGCAGGATGAACTTTACGCCTTAAGAAAAACACAATGGAGCTTTTGCTAACAGATAACTCTAGACCATTCGAATCTAACCAGTACATTAACAATGTCAATTTATTTGATGGTACATTCACAGCTTGGTCACTTAGATTAGATTCAACATATAAAAGAACATGGTCAGCATATTGCAAAATAGAAACTCCATTACCTTTAGGCATTTATGCCTGTCTAAATCATGAGTGTATATGTTGTACAGTATAGGACTCAAAATAGATCCTTGCGGAAGACCTTTATTTATTGTCCTCTGTAAAGAATATTCATCATTTATAACATTAATAGTTCTATAGTTTAATAAATTTATGATGAAGTTATATAATAATCTAATTTTGATTTTAAAATTGGAAAAAGAACATTATCATATGCCGAACTGATGTCTAAAAACGCAGCTTTAATAGAATTACCGATCGAAAAAGCTAATCTTATATCTGTTGTAAATATAGAGAGACAGTCCATGGTGCTCCTACCTTTTCGAAATTCGTATTGATTATTGGGCAACAAATTGTTACGTTCAACATACCAATCCAACCGAGTTTTCACTGAACTTTCAGTAGTTTTTATTAAAACAGAAGATAAGGCAATGTGACGGTAAGATGAGCTTTCTGTAGGATTTTTATTTGGTTTTAAAACTGGTAACACTGTATGGCTTTTCCAAGATGGCGAATTTTCATCTGTCAACATGGATGTGTTAATCAGCTGTAAATCATAATAAAGGGCAGAATCATCAAAATTAGATAAAAGGGAATAAGTAATTCCATCACTACCAGGAGCAGAGTCTACAGTATTAGATAAAACGCCCCTCAATTCTTTTAACGAAAATGGCAAACTTAACCCCGATTCATCATTTGAAACTAGAATTTTATCAAAAACTATTTGTTGTTGGACTATTGGAGGGGCTAACTTGTCAATGAACTGTTCAGCAATATTAAGAGGTAAGTTTCTAAAAGGGGAACCTTTAAAGGCAGATCTAAATCATGTTCCATACAACAGAAGAGTTGGTACTACTCTCTACTTATAACTTCTTCTTTTTGTGAGTCTTTTTTGTTTCAGACATTATTAACTTGAGCAACCATTGACTTATATCAATGTGAGCGACTCAAAGTTTTCGACAGTCATACTATGTCGATATCGTTCTTCAGCCTCTTTACGCCCTTTAACAGCAGATGAACATTCTTCATCGCACCAGACAGGAGAGGAGATAAGGTTTGAGTAACTGTTTTTAATAGAGAAAATTACATCAGCACACTGAATAATTAGTAAAGCTAAAGCATTTGAATTTTCTATGACATTATTGCAGTTTATATCACCAAGGGTAGACATCTTTGACTTAATAAGCTTTTTAAATTGATCCCATTTATCATCACCTTGTAGGTTGTATTTATAGAGTTAGACTTGTTTTTCAAGTTCTTTTTACTCTGAAACGGAAAAGTAATGACTATGGAGAAGTGATCACTACCAAAGGTAGATGTCAAGTTCTGCTATGTTAAGGAAAGTAATAGACTAGGAGAACATATTGAAAGGTCAATAGCACTAACAGAGTTGTTGGGGTCAGTAATGCGAGTAGGAGTTCCAGTGTTCAATAAGCAAAGATTGTTGGTGTCTAATATGTCAAGTACTTGATCTCCATAGCAATTTGATAAGGAGCTTCCCCATACTTGATGTTGACCATTAAAATCTCCCATGACTAAACATGGTTTGGGAAGAATAGAAAACAGATTATTAATTTGATTTAGTATTAAGGTAGTTGGATGAGGCACATAAATAGAAACAAAACAAATATTATTTACAGAAGCAGCAATGACTGAATAGTCATCACCATGAGAAGAAAGATTAATTAAAGAAAAGGGATAACAATTGCTAATGAGCAAGGCAACACCACCATGCCCATCAGTTCTTTGCGAAAACAAGAATAGCCTGGGATCTTAAACCTGAACTCAGGTCTAAGCCAGGTCTCAAATAGAGAAATAATAAAAGGATTAAATTTATTTACAATATATATTAAGTCAGATTTTTTATTTACTATGCTTCGGCAATTCCACTGTATTACTGCTGCGTTGTAGTATAGTGTAGTAAGTATGCAATCATTTCGAAAATTTTACATTTTTCTATTAATATATTTATTCATGATTGATTCATAACGAGCTAGAATAGTTCATTGAGGGTCGTATTCCAGTTCTCTACTCAATACTAGAGTCAGGACATGAGTATTGCAGTAAGCACTGAAAATCATACTCAAGTCCTTGCCATTAGGGTCGTATTTCCAGTGCTTGAAATCATACTCAAGTCTGCTCAAATCCTGAGTAGAGTTCTGGAATACACAATTTTTAAAAACATTTTTTTTTTCTCTTGACTCTTCGCGATAAGCGTTTTAGCCACTTTCAAAGTGTTTTGACTAATTTGTTTTTAAAACGGGGAAACTTTTATAACATCACGGAATGTAATTTGGAAATGGGATTCGAAAGTTGGAGAAAAAGGAATCAGGCGAGGAATTACGAGATGTAAATAAACATGGTATAAATATTATATTATTATTACATGACTTTTTTATGAAACGGGCGCCGGGCGGTGAAATAGAACACAAAAATTACGTTATATTTTACGCAGTTTCAGTTTTCGCAGCGAGCGATTTATAACGGATCTTAAAACCACTACGTGTAACGTAACGCCCAACCTTGGCAGATGTCGTATTTTGTTAATAGACTGAAATTCGTCTAAAAGTAGGTGCGCGGGTGGCAGGGAAGAAAATACACAGCGCTGATTGGCCGTGACACATGTCCAGTCAGTTCTCTTGAAGTTCAGTCAGGTTAGTTCTAAGCATTAAAGTCATTTTCGTGGTTATTTTATTTTTGCGTTACTTATTTTTAGCAGGGAATAAAAGATAAATGTTTTTGATAATATAACTGGAAAATTAATGCACGTATGTCAGTGTAAACTAGTTTAAGTTTTCGTATTGTTCAATTAGTATAAGGTAACTTGTTTCATTTTTTAAAGTAAGAAATTGTATGAAGAATCTGAAGAATGTTGTTTTGTTGGAGTTTCTGACCTGTCGTGATCTAATCTGCTCGCTATTTAACATTTTAACCTCATATGCGCTTATTCGCTTAGGTGAGTAATAAATAATTCTTTTCTGTTATCATCAGTGGATATATTGTTACTAAAGTTCAGATTTTTCTGGGCAATTTTCATATCAAAATACGGCTTCTTAAGATATATTGTTTCCTTCATAAAACCCGGGGTTTCCCTGCAGGGCGTGACATGTTACGATTTTTATAATTTTAAACACATCTTCGAATAAATTTGTCCCTTTATTACAAAAAAGGTGCTGTGGCGTTTTACGGTGTTAGTGTTTGAGTTAATAAATCTGAGTTGTCGTCTCGGTAGCTTGTCTGTTGACAATTAACTGCTTCAATGTGTAATTTTTTTCGTTTGCGACGTTAATTCGGCGAGATGGTTGGTGGCCAGGTCTCATTCAGGATGTGATAATGCCCAGAATAACAATAAAATACTGTGAAGAACACACACACAAAGAAAATGTCAAATTTGATCTGTAAATTCAATTTTATTAGAGCATTAGCACAATTGAAGAACTAAAGAGTGGGGTGATGATGAATCAGAAGTGAAATGACGAGATCTCAGTGATCAAAACATTTGAAAATGGGGAATTTAATTTAAACTTTGTTTAAACATTTAATTAAAATGATCAATGACTCATTGAAGGTAAATTTAGACTCATACATTTAGTTTGACATAGATTTTGGAACATCTTAAAACTAGAAGGTTTGATGATGATCAGGAATGTAGAGATGACTGTGGACTACTGAAAATGTCAAATTTAAACTCAAATGATGGTATGATTTGGTTAGACTGGTATGATGACCTCAGTTAAATCACAATTTATTTATTCCTGATGCCTGAAGTCTGTTTAAGGGTTGTATTCCAGAACTCTACTCAAGCTCAAGTTAGGATTTGAGTATGGTTTAAAGCCTTTGATATCATACTCAAGTCCCTGCCATTAGGGTCGTATTTCCAGTGCTTGTGTTGCCAGTGCAATCCTGACTTGAGCATTGAATAGAGTTCTAGAATACGACCCTTAAAGATAATTAAAACCATATGCAAAATAGGTGCCCAGACGTGATTTGCGGATACTGACTTGTTAAACCACACTATAGTAATATCATTACGTATGAAACTTATTTTGATTTTTATTTGATTTTTTTAAGACTGATTTTAGCACTGAGCAGAGATGGCCGTGTTGCCCATAGTTTAAGTTTGATATTTCAAATAATAATAAAACTGTAACTGTGCCAACACTGTCTCAGCACTTTTCGGACTTTGTGTTTTGTGATGTTACGTGTGACCTTGTGCTTTTTTCAAAGTATGAAGAATACATAGCCCATTCGGCAGAAGTACGATGACGAGTAGTAGGGGCTATCGACGAACGACGCAGTTTGATGAACTGACTGATTACATCGAAAGAAATTTGGACTCGAAGAATAAATGTTTAACTATCCTCCTTGACCCCGCAAAAGCCTTTGACATTGTAAACATACCAATATTTTTAAATAAGTTAGAATACTTGGAATTAGAGGAAAGCAGCTCAAACTTTTACAGGACTTTCTTTCTGACAGAAAACAGTGATGATTGACAAAATAATGAGTGACGAATTACCGATCGAATATGGTGTTCCCCAAGGAAGCATATTAGGATCAATCCTATTCCTGGTCTACATAAACCAACTATGCGCTCTTCCCCTTCTCTGGTTGCAAGATCATATCTTACGCCGATGATACAGTCTTATTATTCAACGCCTCAAGTTGGAATGAAACATTTTCACAAGCTCAATTTGGTTTTAACTCAGTTACCAAGTGACTCAGAACGAATGCCCTTACACTGAATACTAGCAAAACTAAATATATGACTTTCTCATACAATATCTCCTCACAACCTCCTGAGAATGCTTTTTCAATAGTAGCTCACCATTGTACAAGCCTTCGAACTCATCAAAACCTCTGTGCTTGTCCAACACTGGACAGCAAACGACATTAAATATTTAGGAGTCATAATTGACAATCATCTTAATTTCAAAAACCATATTGTACTTATTATATATATATATATATATTATTAATGGTTACCTATAGGTAATTATTATTTAATTATTACATATAGAAATATATTATTTTATTATTAAAATAGAAAATCTATTTTTAAGCTGTAATATAAAGAAATTTGCCCATAAAGATGCCTAAAATACAGGTACACATTAACTTAGTTTAGGCATCGCAATGACACATTAGATGCTAATATTAAAATGTATAACTTTACTATGAAGAATGTATAATTAAGATTCCCTTATTCATTCTTATTTGAATACTATAATACCTTAATTTACATTTGTTTTACTTACATTGTATTAGATTAAGTTATATTGAAATAAATTTATCTTATGTTATTTTAGATATTACACAAACTTGCTGTTAATGATAACACTTAAATGTTTCCTCCAATTTTAAACTTTACGTAATAATTACATACAAAAACTCATTCCATATTAGCAAACCACTGTGTTGCAGGTTTATAATAATATATTATATCCGATTATACGAATACTATATGTTATCAAAAGATTGACTACACCGTATTTGTTTTCTGTCAACACACCGGTTGCAATGAGAAGGTAATAAAAATATACTACATATTTTCTAGGCCAGTGATAATGTTCGATAACTACGGCAATAACCAGGCGCAGACGCCGCCCAGCCAGCCGCCGCCGCAAAGAGCACTTCGCTTTGACAAAGGCTATGTCACCACTATTCCGGGGATCTTGAAATTGGTACAATTGGTAAGAACCTTGTTTTGTATCATCCATTGCACATAACTACCTATATAATAATAATTACCTTATTAACAGTGGTCGGAATAGGGTGTTCCAAGTAATAAATAGTACAACCCTTTATTCAGTAGATAAATGTCTACTTAAAGATGCAAGGGCATGGAGTGGTTAAAACCACCAAATATTAATGAATTGCTTTTTTAATGTTTTTCCTACAATGCAGTAAAACTATTTCCAGAAATCTGAAATCTGAAATCCGAAAAAACAAATTAATTATTATTTGGAGGTTTTAACCACTCTTTGTCACTCCTCGTGTCTATAATTGTTATTTAGACATTTAGCTACTCTTCGGAACACCCTATACCAAAAATTGCTAATTAATTATTGAAGCTGTAATCTTCAATTTTGTCTGCAAGATGTTTTTGGCAATGATTGTTAGAATACAATACAGATGGATACAGATCCAAGATCTTCAATTTGCATTATAAATATGTGATAGTCAAAATCGCATGTTACCAAATTGTATCAATTGTGTAGTAGTAGAATAGGATTGTTTATTTCATACTATTAATAGTACAATTCAGTCAAGGTAAATATGATGTAATATGAATATTACCATCACTAATGTAAAGAAACAGAAAATATAAAACAAAATAGTACAACTAAAAAAACACATTATTGCAAAAACATATGACACCCAAGAATAACAAAATTTAAATATCTTCCAAAGACAGCTTTTTTTTTAAATTCATTATCCAGTAATAAGAGTTCCCGTTGGGTGGGTATTAAATATTTTTACATTATATAGAATATTTAAAAAAATTGTAATATTTTATTTTTTATAAATGAAATGTTGACCTCGTATACTATTAAACATGCCAAATTCGCCACAGGATGTAATTGTAAGAGATAAGATAAAAGTGTTATTCCAAATCCTGGATCCTGTTGTATTATACCTAATTTGGTATGTATTTAAAAGAGCATCCCTTAGTTTGTTCTGCTTAGGAGAATCTGTTTGTTTAAATTGAACAGTAAAACATAGTTGTGAACTCTCATGCTGTTACTACTGTTTTTATGTTGGATTGCTTATTTGGTGCCTGTACTGCAATTCATCACTTATTTATATATTTAGGAATAAGTTAGTCACTCCTTTAAAACAACAATATTTATTTTTTATTTCATTAAAAACTGGCAACCCACGAAACATCAGTTCATAAGCACACAGTACTAAAAAAAAATCAAACAATTATTATTTTAAAGTCACTAATTATATGTATGATTTAAAATGAATTAATTTCCAGGTATCAAACTTTGTGGGTTTCATCTGCATAAAAATCCAATGGTCAGCATGGATATCATCAATCTTCTACAACATTCTCTACTGGATGGGCATAATTGTCGCATGCCTACTACTGCTCTTGTACACATTCCATTTTGTAGAAAAGTTTTATAAGATACCCTGGCACAAAATGGAGTTTTTCTACTGCATGTTTGTGGCTATCACATATATCATACTGTCTATAATGGCTACTACGATCGGGGAAAGCACTGGGATTGCAGTTTCGGTGAGTTTACAAAAAAAATGTTCAAAAAAATATCCAGAACGCATCTTTTTTGGGATTCCTAACAAAATTTTACGTTACAACAAAGTTCCTTCATTAATATAGTTTAGTTGACATATATTAGTTTCAGCATTAAATTGCATGTCTGGCTGTGTTTCACAGCTTTTTTACTCCCTTATTTATCCACCATCTATATCAATTATTATATATTTTTTGTTTTTGTGATACCAAGTGACGGGACGAACAAGTCGTACGCCTGATGGTAAGCGACACGCCTGTCCATAACAGTTGCAATGCCACTCGAAGCTGTAAATCGCAAAGATCTGAGGGGCACTGCCACTGTGCCCGTCACCCTGAGACATATTATATTGACAAGTCCCATGTGCCGTGATTCCACCAAATTCTTTGGGAAAGCATCAAAATAATTTCACACACCTGTAATTCCATCATGTTTCTTATCCATGTTCTTTAACCATACCAGTCTTGAGATTAGTAATTTTAAAGAAAATCAGTACAGAGTACTAAAAAAACCGACCTCAAAAGTAATTTATCCCCTAATTAGCCACCCTTAGGTGGAATATTTTCTTCAAATTTAAGTGGGACCACTATTGAAGTACCCTCTTTCCAACAAAAAAAGGAATCATCAAAATCGGTTCACATAAGTTATTACGTAACTTACATAAAAAAAAACATACAGTCGAATTGAAAACATCCGCCTGGTTTTAAATCGATTAAAATTATACCAAACTGTAGCAAAGACTTATTATTTAATAGGTAGCTATTTGCAACCTTTTACAAAGATTCTGACAAGCTAAAATAGCTCTTACCTCATATCAAATAAAGTTACCCAATTACTTAATAGCGACATGAACTTGCAAATCCTTAGAAGATTAAACCAGGTAAAAAATCCCCACAACCTAAACTATTAAATTTTTAATTTCAGTTCTTCGGATTTTGTGCAGTTATAGCATACGGATTCGACGGGTACCTGAATTACAGAGGTTGGCAAAAAGGCCTGCCAGCACAATAAGTGTTATATTTCTTATTTATTTTTTTAACTTTTGCATTTTATATCTTAAGCATGATAAAGGCGCCAATTCTGGTAAATATATCTGTATGAATACTTGTCATACTAAGTTAGTATATAAATGGGGAACATTGTTTGAAACTTTTCAGATTAATGGATGTTTTTAATAATGCGGATTTTGGTGTTAAGCTATTAAAGCTTTACGCTTGCTATGCAAGTACATAACCTATTGTTGGTAAACTTTATTGTAATTGATAAATGCACTAATATGTTATGCAACAATTAGCTACAAGAAACATAAATATTACTTGTAAAAAATATAAAGAATTGGCGCCAGATCACTCACCGAGTAGACATGTTAGGATAGGAATAAAAGTTTTTTATTTATAATTCGTAAAGAAAGTGTAACCTATATTACGCTCTATCGATTTTATGTATTCGCTTATAGCCTTTCAGATCTCTATGGTTTGGCTAGATATGAGAAAATGTGCCTGTTTAAAATGATAACTGCCGCCTAGACTTGAAAGTTTGCCTGACTTTCAGCGTGCCAATGCCAATTTCATTCTTAGGGTCGTATTCCAGATCTTTACTCAATGCTCAAGTCAGGATTTGAGCAGACTTGAGTATGATTTCAGTGAGCACTGAAAATCATACTCAAGTCCTTGCCATTAGGGTCGTATTTACAGTGCTTGAAATCATACTCAAGTCCTGACTTGAGAATTGAGTAGAGTTCTGGAATACGATATTACTCATTCATAAGGCAGGTTCCCCCGCGAAAAACGTGTAAGAAACTCTTATTCTTTGGAAATAAATATTTGTTCACATTAATTTGTCATTTACGAGTACCTGATAGAGCTATTCGGAACACCATGGAGTTTTGCTATATGGTACTTTTAAACCTCGTAAATGGCAAATTAATAGTTTAATGTTTGCAGAAATCATAATGAGCTCTTCTTACGCCAGTGTAAGAAAGTATTTTTTTTATTATTTAATAGACACTCAGGAACTCAAAATTTAAAATATAGCGGGATTCACATTAAATAAGATTTGACATTTCTCCCTGAACGTCAAACTGTCTTTAAAGAGAGACATGAAAGTTTACTAATGTTGAGAATATTATTATGTCGTTAAATAAATACAGGTATTAAAATTTCTAGAGACATAGATATTAATTCAACTGTAAATTGTAACAGAAGCCGAATTCAATGTAATGAATTTTTATATGACGTTAACGTTGACGTTTTATTATAGCGTTTTCTGGTATAGACTAAGGGGGTCACCACACTTATCAACACGGACTCGCATTAATTAAGCCGGTAAAAAAAATTACGTAATAAGAGCGAAAAAGAAGTGAGTTAAATCGTCTCATAAGTGGACAACGACTCTGAAATACAGTGTCGAAGTCACATCGGCCGAGTCGACGCCCATACGGACGCGCCGATGCCCGAACAGTCCCGTCGATGCATGAACAACCGCTAGACACCCGACCGGCTGCGTTGACGCCGGAACGGCTGCGTTGACGCCGGAACGGCTGCGTTGACGCCGGAACGGCCGCGTCGATGGCGCATTGGTTTACTACGATAAGTGTGACATGTTTAACATGTTCGCCCCAAGCATACGTGTGATAACTCTCTTAACATAATCTATAAAAAATATTTACACGTAAACTTGAATTTTGTATTTAGATGTATTTATACAATTTTATAAATTATATTTTATTATTAATATGTATATATATTTGTAATTGATTACCTAATCATTAAACTATATAATGTGCCTTGATAAGAAATAAACGAGATGTATAACTTCACGCAATGTGGTGTATGTAGGTATTGTAAGTGTTGTTTGTGATGTTTCTAGTAAAAACTTTTTGGTATTTATGACTCAACATTATGGTGATAGAAAAAACTTGTGAACTTGGTGTTGGGTTTTGCGCCCTTTCCTGCTCCATTGATACATGTAACAATTTTGTTTGTGATTTCCTTTTAAACTTATGGAGATTGTATAAGGATAATAATTATGTTATATTGTTTAGTTTTGTCATATCGCTAATAAACTATAGGTTGTAAATATGAGACGGAAGCGATATTAAGACTCGTATTAATCAACGGCAACCTACATCGGTACTGAATGTCATTCCAGGGATGTTTATTAATAATCTCAGTGCAGAGTACTAATAAAACCGACCTCAAAAGTTCGTGGAATCACATCTATTTGCCATGTTTTATTGAAATCGGTTACCGGAAAGTGCGCGAAAGAGGATTCGTCCCTAGTTTGCGACCGTAAGAGTTGAAATACTTTCTTCAAATGTAAATGGGACCACACTGAGGTACGCTCTTTCTAACAAAAGAGAAAGATCAGATTCGATTCACAGGTGTGAGTTATCGCGTAACATACATACAAAAATAAATACAGCCGAATTGAGAACCTGCTCTTTTTCGAAGTCGGTTCACAAAGAATGTTGGCTTATGTAAGCTGCTGCACAAGATAAATTGATTAATATGGGCCTTACAATTAAAGTAAAATTAATCGAAAATTATAAATATTTTATTTTTGTAGTGTTTTTTTTTATTATAAATAAATTTTTGAACGAAACTATGAATCGTAACGTGCTGTTACAGTATTTTGTGCGATGGCCGCATAACACGTTCCGTATTCAGCCAATATAACAGGTATTACATACGTACACGTGTGTAGCCTTGAGATTGTAAGAAGTTTTGAATTTTACTTATGGGTCCAAATAGCTTTGCATTTTTATATACCTGTGCTTATGAACTACATTGTACCGTATATTTAAGGTACAAAGTACTCGGCGGGCGTACAAAGTTTAAAAACTCGTGACTATGAAAATAAATTATTATTTATCTTTTATATTACGTTAAGTTGTACCTAAGCTTATGTTACTTATCGACATATTTCTACAGTGCACATAGCTCACACGCATGTTTTTTTTATTACGTGATGTCATAAAAGTCGCCAACGTTTAATTCTACTTGCAAATATTGTTAATTTAGATATACAAAAAAACTGCATTACATTCTTTCCCTGAACGTCATCAAGTTATGTGCCTAATGCGCTGGCCACAACACGAACGAAGTTAGCTTAGCTCACGTAGCCGGGGTATCTAGTAGCAGTCCTTTGAAAGAATTCATCCAGGGAACTACTGCCATCTTACCTGTTTCTGCCGCCAAGCAGTACTGTGAGCATGTGAAATTACAGGCACATGGGACTTTTCAACTCGTGTGTCAGGGTGGCAGTGCGTCTTGGGTCTTTGAGGTTTAAAGCTCTGAGTGGCACTGCAACTGTTATGGACAGGCGTATCGCTTATCACCAGGCGCACGATTTATTCGTCCCATTACTTGGTATTATAAAAAAGATCTTTTCGTACTTCGGTTCACACCGCGACCTTTTTTTAACTCGGAAAAATACGTTACGCATACATCACGCGCTAGCTATGCAAAATATCACCTATTCACCCCCGCACGCATCCACATTTACTAAGTATTTTCTAGGCTTCGCTTCGCATGCAACTACGCGAACTAAGTGAGGTCAATTCAAATTCAAATTCAAAATAATCTTTATTTCATAGGTAAGCATTATTACACTTGAAATCGTCACAATGGTTAAACTCTACCGCTCATTCGTAAGGCAGATTCCCCTGAGAAGAATGAGCAAGAAACTCTAGGGGTTGCTCTTTGTAAATAACATTTACAATTTTTTTTGTATTTGAAACATCAGAGATCGAGACCTCCATGAGCTAAACGGGTTACTACCACGGATTTTTGTCATCCAAGTACGCAGAAGTTGTATAATAAGCTTTAGTATACAGTTTTTGTTTCTCTATAGTTTTAAACCCCGTGAGAGGCAAATTTTGTATATCAACCGGAATCTTCTTATAGAAGCGTATACATTGCCCCTTAAATGATTGTTTGACTTTGTGAAGACGACTATCAAGAAAAGCTAGTTTATTTTTATTCCTCGTATTAATGTTATGTCTGTCACTATTTTTCATAAAGAAATTACTATTCCTTTTAACATAAATTATATTCTCATAAATGTATTGTGAGGCTAGTGTAAGAATGTTAATTTCCTTAAACTTATCTCTCAAAGATACTTTGGGGCCCAGATTGTAAATTGCCCTAACTGCACGTTTCTGCAGGACAAAGATTCTATTTAGGTAGCTTCGTTCACGGTGTGACCTGCTCATTATAGCACTTCTTCAGCTAAATTTGTAAACCTCGTACCTCCATTAATGTGAACTTTTGAGTAGGCACGAAAGAGACTACAAATAATTTTATATTACGACATGCCCTGTCCATGTACCTACAAATTATATTTTAAGCTTTAACTTCCCGATATTGCGCTTGAAGATCAAAAAAGGGGTAGTGTCCAAAACGGAGTTATAAAGTTTTTAAATTTAGCAGATTTGTAAGCTGTAATGCATTATTGCACAAATGTGTTGCGACTAATTGTTACACATGAATGTGAGCTTGCCTAAACATACATACAATGATTTTTTTAATTTACGTACATGTTTGTGACTTTGAAAGTAAGTTGTGAACCAATTATTTTATAAGTTGAATTTTTTATTAGTCATTTACTTAATTTATAGTTATCTGTGTATAATTACAACTCTTTTTCTTATACCTAACAGTCACATTAAAAAAGGGTAATGAAAATAATAAACAATAAAAGACACGTATAAAGCTTTTTATTTAACTCATTAGAATACAAAAATTGGATAAACAACAATTTTTAGTAAGTTTTACAAAAAATTATAGTAAATTCTGTGCCTTATGCATAAAAAACAACTTATTTTGTGAATTGATATTATCTTTATTACATTGATTATACATACACAATGTGCTCTTAATATAATATAATGTGTATTTCATATACACTGCATTAGCTGACTTCCTTTTAAAGAAAGGTAAGTATGTTCTGCGAAATATAGTCCGCTCTGTTCCAATCGTGGATCAGTAATTCGAAAAAACTGACTAATCTCCATACTACAGGTAGTAACTATGAAGATCTAGATGGCGCTGATCAATTGCCTGGAAGTAGTTTATATTATGCAAATGGCCACAGATATCATTTAATTTCTTTTAAATTTGAAATACAAGTAATATTTTATTTCCCTGTAATATTATTCAAATACTGACCATGACCGACCTAAAATTATGTTGTGATCTTTGACAAATATGCTTATCGATAGATGGCATTGTGTAATAAGCGCCACAATAATCTGTGAAATAAGCGCCATCTAGTGATTTGTTTGTCATTACTCGAAAGAGAAGTTTTGATAAATTACGGCTCGTCAATGTAAAACAAATAGGTTACAAAAATAGTTATTTAGTACCCGTCGCGACATCTGGTGTACCAATAGGTACTAAATGCCCGACTACGCTGCCTTGTATCGCGATTAGCAGTATCTGGAGTAATTGATCCACGGTTTGAATCCTTTGTAAAAAAGGTAAATAAACAGGTTATTGACCAGACTATAGAGTGTTTAGAGATGACCAATTAAATTATTCCACTTTGAATCAGTTACAATAAGTTTTATTTTTGCAATTTTACTGCCGACTACTAACAAAAAATAGTTGGTCAATTGACTGCGACAACAAAATGACAAAATTTAATAACATATTGAAATATTTGCATAATGTTGACAGACAGGAGAGGAGCGACATGTCCTAATACAAAATATTTCGCTAATTTAAATACACACATACTGGGAATTATCTTGCTTCATTGGTCCACCTTAATCTACCTTTCGCACACTGTGAGCAATGATTTTTAGTGACGATAATTTTGGACGGAAATTACAATTTCATAGCGATTATAGTCGAAGCTTATTATTTTATTAATGTACCTTATACTGGCCCTACAAATGCTTTTTAAAGTTCATTTTCCTTCTGAAGGATCCATTAATACTTCTAAGTCCAGTTGACTGATACAGTTTTATGAAATATGTATTGCAATCACAAAAAAAAAAATAGTTTTCTTGTACACTGTGTCTTATGGACTGCAATTTTCGATAAATGAATATTTTAACATTTTAATGGAATACATAATTTTTTCAACTAAATGAAGCATATGTATTTTTCTCATACCTTTCAGTCAACTGACCACACGCCCTTCAGACATTTCTTAACTAAATAAATAACTTAACACTAACAATAAATGTTATTTACATGTTTCACTAATTACAAATTAGAGCTTATGTTACTATCACAAATACATTTATCTTAATTAGTGAATTTAGATGTGCTTAAATTTACGGACTTAGATAACGTAGGTATTAGTTAACAAGTGGCCTTTTGTAACTCTAAATGGCGCTTGGGTTTTAGTGATAGTTTGCAAAATAAATTAATTTAGATATTTCATGCTCTGCAACCGTTTAAACCTTCAATTTCAATGTTGATAAGTACGTATTATCTCGCTTACACTCTTTAGGAGAAACAAATTTAATACATCTGATAGCACGTTTCGTGATAAAAAACTATCTCGAATTGTTTCAATCGATGTCTCTTATTATGTTTAAGAAGTGATCGCGACGCGTTAATAAGATTCTGGTAAAGGTTTATCAGAAAAACTCAGCAGTATCTGAAGGCCTTTGTAGCGTAAAATTGTTGCAAATGCGAAAATTTTATAATTATGTTCATCTTTACGAAGTAAAGTGTTAACTTTTAATAATTAATGGATTTGAAGCAACCATAAAAAATAACTAATATCCAACCTGCTTGTTATTATTAGAAGGTTTACTTGGTATATGAAAATGGCATTAAATACTTTTTGGAGATAACCAGTAGTGAGAGAGAAGTCACAAAAAGAAGAATCTATTTTGTATTATATTTATCTATGATTTATAAATAAATAGACACATTACTTAACTTGATAGAATATTGGTGGGAAGAACGGAATTACATAAATTGTAAGTAACCAAGAGATGAAGGCAAGGAGTTTCATCTTATATAACAAATTTTAAGACATTTTTTAAGTTCTTCACTATTTCATTAATGAGCTTATAATGTTTAATCGCATTCTTTTTAAACACCCTCTACATATATTTATTTTTAAAGGTTACCTTTGGCAACAATTTCGAAATTAATAATTTCATTGACATGAGCGAAGACAATTGTAGCATTTTTTGAGTATCAAAAATGACACATAGATACACATACACACAGAGAATAAAATGTAATCTAACGAAGAACAATCGATAAATTTTGTTACAATTAATATTAACTTTTGGTATAAAACGATTAGTTCTTAGCCTAAAGTTGCCTTTGGCCATAAGGTTGATTGTAATCGTGTGATTATTCTATTATTAGTTTAATCGTAAGCTGTGGTCCACAGCAGAAACAAAATACATACAAGTAACTGTATGTGCTGCATAGTGACCTTTCTCACCTACATAAAGCGACTTCGCCTCCATTGAAGCAAATTGTGATACGTAATCGTTCTTACGTGTGATGCAACGCATGTGTTAGTAACCATCACAGTGTTAATTAACACGGGGACTGCAGTGAGTCATTCCATGTGGATGCATCACCTTTATTGCAAGTTGTAGCCCTGTATATCGATAGTTTAAATGTATTATTGTATCTTCATAAACCTTTTTTTTATGCAGGACATTTTGTAGATGGCCGCTAATGGCCTTGAGATGAGTTCTTAACCCGTGGGACTGAGATATGTCAGCAGCGACAGCTTGTATGCATTACTGTAGCTGTCACTACCCTGTACACTCTGGCTGATCTGGGGTCAGAATCTGAACTTACAAGGATCCTGTGCGCGCACAGGTCGGTAGAGAGGGTGACTATAATCAAAACTAATCTAGAAAGATATTGGGCTGTAGCTGTCACCATAGATTTTTTATAAAAAATTAAGTGCGCAACTGACCTCCATCTCCACACCTAAATAATGCCTAGAATCTCCTTTGAAAAGACGCAGGTTATAGTGTTTAAAGTAATGGCACTAATTGAAATTTGAGAGATCGCAACACTAATTTGAACTGAAGTGGACCACACTTACTTTGATTAGTCCACCACCGCAGTACCTCTATGGCTACGGCATGGCGGGCGGCGTGGAGATGTGCGTCTGCTTAGTGACTACTCTCCTGCCCTGCGCGAGCTCGCCGGCCTGCAGCGCCCTCGCCTTGAGGTACGCGTCGCCGCCATATATCAGCATTGCTAAGTAGCTGAAGAACTGAAATGTAAAGGCTGCTGTCAGAGTGTAGCAGTGAGGAGAGACTTACAGAAGAAATGGAATTTAACTATCAACAAGTTTAAAAATGTTATAACTAAACAAGTTAATTTTAATATTTATTTTATAGAATATCATGATGTTTTTACTACCACAATTTGTGAAACAATCCACTAGTCTGTTGTTGTAATTATTGATACAATGATCGATGAAATACAAAGAAAAATTCCTTCGGTCCGGCTGCACTCGAACCAGTGGCTTCGCCAGTTAGGGCCTCACCACATTTATTCACGCGGAATCGCTTTGAACCGGTCAGAAAAACCTTTATGTCCATGCAATAAGAGCGAAAAACGTCGCGCGTTCCGCTTCCGCTCGGTTCGCCGACGCGAAACGCACGTCATTTTCGCTCTATTACGTTGACATAAAAATTTTTCTGGCCGGCTTAATTCGCATTCCGTAATTACA